CCCCATCTTTTTCTCTCAGCCATTTCTCAGTCCCCCTATCCACAACATTCAACCAGACGTTTCTCACCCAACCTTGCCCTATCCACAACATTCCCCCAAACGCCCCCCCGCCCCCCCATCCACAACATCCCACCAAACGTTTCTCACCAAACGTCCTCCTCTCCGAACATTCCAGATGGAAAACAGACTACTTCGTCTCTCAAGACTGGTTCCAGCGTGCCCAAGCTTACTGCGCGTTGTGCGAGCGACTCCACACCGACAACGCAACCAAAGTGTACGACCTGAGCGAGTGGTTTGTGCAGGAGTCCCACTGCTTGGAGAAGACGACGCCAGAGATACGGGAGTTCGTTGGCGGGAACAGGTACCATCCCGCTCTCGCCTTCCTCGCGTGCTTGCTCATTCTGCTTGCGATTGCACTGGTGTTCTTGCTGACTGTCACCCTCGCTGAATATTACCGGCCGAATAGGACCTATTGCAAAATTTATAGCATGATCAAGAGATGAAATGGAAGTTGCAAGATGTATATTTATAATAAACGAGTGGATATGTAAATAATATTAAAAAAAAACGTTTTTATATACGTGATGTGCATTTAGTCATTATGCTAAATAACCTTCCTAATGGAAATGCTTGTTGTGTCTGCTTGTTTGTTTTTTTAAGATCTGTATAATTCTATTTTTTTCCTAACATCTCCTCTATTCCTATTTAATATCTAGTGTTCGATAACGGAATTTCAATAAAAATAATATGTATATATGATATTCTAACTGATAAAAGTAAATGATTTTGCAATTACACGATTGTCTTTACTCCTAACAGCCACATTGCAACCTCTTGCTTTTAGCATCATTTTACTCACATTGCATGCAGTGGCGTAGCCAGAGCGGGAAGATTGGGGGGGGGGGGCAAACAGGTAAGAAAAATAGCAGGGGGTCCGGGAATCTTCCCCCGGGAAAATTTAAGACCACGCCCCTTAGAATGCTGGAAAACGGCAATTTTTAGATGGCTTATAATGAGCTATGCCATTTGGGCAATAAAATTTGTAGGGGGGCCCCCTACAAATTTTATTGCAGATTTGCACTTTTCTCAGAGACCAACTTTCTGAGCATTGGGGGGGGGGGTGGCTGCCCCCCCTTGCCCCCCCCTCGCTACGCTACTGATTGCATGATTGATAATTATTCATCTATGCATTCATCATCAGGGAGAGAGAGAGAGAGAAGCAGAGAGAGAGAGAGAGAGAGAGAAGCAGAGAGAGAGAGAGAGAAGGAGAAAGAGAGAGAGAGAGAGAGAGAGAGAGAGAAGCAGAGAGAGAGAGAGAGAGAGAGAGAGAGAAGAGAGAGAGAGAGAGAGAGAAGGGAGAGAGAGAGAGAGAGAAGAGAGAGAGAGAGAGAGAGAGAGAGAGAGAGAGAGAGAGAGAGAGAAGACGAAAATAGAAGGGAAGAAAATTTTAACATTTTAAAAAGAAAAGAAAAAGAACCGAAAAAAAAGAAAATGATACGAGAAAAGGAAACATAAAAGAAAAAAAAGGATCTGTAGCGTTTAATAGCGTAAAATCTCAGCATATATAATGTAATTTATCTGTAAAGGTTTTTTATGCACAGTTAAAACCTCTTAATCAGATACTTTAATACGATGTGATATCAAGAGAGAAAAAAAATAATTTTATGCACATTATCCCACTTCTGCAGCTTGGGAAAATTTATTTGATATAAGTTTGTTTGTTTATGTATTTGCAAAAAAAAAAAGATGTAAACGCATTGTTGATGTATAAAAGCGTACGTATAGTACTCTCTTCAGTGAATATACCACATTCTCTAAATATATTGGGAAAATAGATAAAGAGAAAGTTGTAGGCTGCAATTACTTCTTCATTTCCACCTATCTATCAACATTTAGCACAGTTTTAATAAAAGCTGAAATTAATCACGCCCAAGCTCCTATGAGTATTCAGTCTGTGACAATAAACCTATAGGACAATAAAAAAAACAAGTTATTTTCTTGAAATCATTTAACAATAGGAGAAATATAGTGTAATTGCACGCCGCTATTAGCACGCTGATGCCGCTGGAAATAAATGTTAGATAAAAACTATTGATTTAAATTTTGTTATATGGTAAGGTTGCCCAGACGCATCCAGGCCGTTAATTCTCCTGTCAATGGAGTTCAGCGCTGAAATTGAGGATATTAATGAAATAAGCGATGTCATTATCAGTGTGGCACTGTAGAATCTTATATTATTTCTTCCTCTCTGAAATTTATGTTTTGTAGCATTGTGAAATTCAGTATAATTGCCTAATAAAAAAACGGTGATATTGTCAGCTTTTACATATCACGACAAAATAAAATAATGGATGATCATGGTTAAGTCTGTCCTTCATATTCTAATTTCAAAACTAGAAACCACAAAGTAATCAAAACAACTGAACTAAAAAAATGAAAAGAAATAATCATTATCAACAGACAAAATAAATGTAATTCATATATAATTATTTGTATACAAGTCTTTCTGTCGTTATGAAACACCAATCTCCAGCTAGCAACAATGGTGCAGTATTCTTTATTGGGCAATTAAAGATTTTAGAGGATCTTCCCTTTAAAAAATCCTTTCCCCACAGGTAACATGGCGACTACGAGCCTAAAATGGACAGCAGAAAGCTTTCCTCTGGTTAGCAAAATCACTGGCAACTCATATCAACGAGTGTTTAAAAAATGAAGGATTGTGTAAAGCGAATAAAACTTATTTTATGTTCGTGTTATGTTTTGGTTAACCTTGTTTTTCCGTTCTCTCTTCTCATTTTGTTGTCTCTCCGGTTGTTTCCAAGTCTTTATGCTTCATTGTTCTTTTTTCCTGGATGCCTCTCTCTCTCTCTCTCTCTCTCTCTCTCTCTCTCTCTCTCTCTCTCTCTCTCTCTCTCTCTCTCTCTCTCTCTCCCTCTCTCTCTCTTTCTTTCTCTTTCTCCTCTCTCTCTCTCTCTCTCTCTCTCTCTCTCTCTCTCTCTCTCTCTCTCTCTCTCTCTCTCTCTCTCTCTCTCTCTCTCTCTCTCTCTCTCTCCCTCTCTCTCTCTCTCTCTCTCTCTTTCTCCTCTCTCTCTCTCTCTCTCCCTCCCTCTCTCTTTCTCTCTCCCCCCCCCCCCCCCTCTCTCTCTCTCTCTCTCTCTCTCTCTCCTTCTCTTTCTCTCTTTCTTTCTCTCCTCTCTCTCCCTCTCTCTTTCTCTCCTTTTCTCTTTCTCTCTCTCTCTCTCTTTCTCTTTCTTTCTCTTTCTCTCTTTCTCTCTCTTTTTCTCTTTTTCTTTCTCTTTCTCTCTCTCTCTCTTTCTCCTTCTCTTTCTCTCTCTCTCTCTCTTTCTCTTTCTCTTTCTCTCTCTCTTTCTCCTTCTCTTTGTCTCTCTCTCTCTCTCTTTCTCTTTCTCTTTCTCTCTCTCTCTCTCTCTCTCTCTTTCTCTTTCTCTTTCTCTCTCTCTCTCTCTTTCTCTTTCTCTTTCTCTCTCTCTCTCTTTCTCTTTCTCTGTCGTTATATTTCCATTACTCGCGTAGTGATTTATAACAAATCTGAATAACCGTCGATCCTTGGTACGAAAAATGTAGCTGCCACCACCTGGTTAATTCGTCCAGGAACGTAAATTAGTATGTTCGTAAAGTAAGAGGCATGTCGATGTGAGCGAAGATAGAGAAAGTAAGTGTAAGTGTACAGAAGTGACCAAGGTTCAAGGGTCAACACAGCAGTTAGCTTGGTTATGTCCGAGGTGGAGTGCGTGTCGACCTGAACCCGATAGAAGGTGTAGCTTTATGGATTTTGAACTCTTGCTTATCTAAAAGTCAAAAAAGCATCAAAAGAATTCATCGTCGGGCACTTTTTCACTCACGTTCCCTTTTGTTCTTCTCACCGAGGCATTACACTACTCAGTATACCAGGCAAGGCACTCGCGCACATCCTATCGAGACGTATCAGAGACCACCTGCTGAGGCACCAGAGGCCGGAGCACTCTGGATTCACTCCTGGTAAGTCCACAATAGACCACATGCTACCTTTTTCACTTACGTTCCCTTTAGTTCTTCTCTTTTTATCCTCTATATTTTCATTCGGCATTGATTCTTACTGGAAGTTTAGTCAGTAGTCAGGTTCGTGTCTTAAGCATATCATTTAACTTTTAAATGCAAGAATTCAGTCATGTCTGTCTTATTTGAATTTATGTTCAATAGTGATCAACACTTAAAAGCAGAGTGGATACATAATGGGATCTCCTAAAACAAATTTCACAAATTTATTTATTAAAACAAGTAAAAACAGCGATAAGAATCTCAAAATCAAAATGAAACTGACTAAAAACGAACTAACTCCTATAAATATTAAAACTCACAGAGAAAATACTAAACTAAGGTCGCGAAATGCCCAACAGTAAAAATACAAAAGAGAAAGAAACATCCGCAAAAGGAGCACATCGCCACATTAAGAGTTTATGAAAAGTTACAGCGATTCCGTCTTACCGCCTTACCTTCCGTCTTATCCTTACGACCACAAAAAAGAGCCCTTTCTACTCCAATGCCCGGGTCTCACAGCTGAAAGATGCTCTCCCACTTGACCTGGCTGTTCGGGACCTATATATAACCTCCTCAGCAAACATGCTTATAAGAGGAGGGAAATCTAAGGCCAGAGAAGGTGGAGGCGGTATTCCCGTCAAGAGAGGGCGGGGTCTCCCCCTGTCAGATACCCGCGATTTTGTTTATAACAAATCCTTGTTTCTAAAAAGAAGAATAAAAAGATTATTCAAATGCAATTGAACAGTGTTAAAACTATATTGTAAAAAGTAAAGATTTATATGACTTAATAAGCCCATAAGGCAGAATGTGCTCTCATGTGCGGATATTTAAAAGAAAACGAGATTAAAAATTCATAGCAGAATATAATAATAATAAAATAAAATAATAATAATAATAAAAGCCACAGCATCTCCTTGTTCCCCTCACAGCTTCCTGGAAACTGTCAACTGCCGGCATTAACCGCCTCGCAATTGTCAAGGGGCAACTCGTACATTCTTCCAAGGTTCCTCTGTTCGTCATTCAGCTTCAAGATTCACTACACTAGGAATCAGCGTATAACGCATTTGCCTATCACCCACTTGTAAAAATATTTATTTACTGAGTTTTGCTACAAAAATATAGAAACCCCATAGAAAGGTCTTCTTGCCATAACGAGAAAAACGATAAGGCTATTGTAAATGTTATACAATATGTAAAAAAAATACAAAAGAGAGTTCCAGGTGCCTAGGTTTTAGCTAGTAACATGAAAAAATGACGTCAGATCTGATAAGTCTTAATTTAAGTATCAAGAAGCAGGTGCTGTTAATTCAGCAGTTTCATGCAAACATAAAACTATATCTCTATTATTTATACTTGGAAGAAGGATAAATCTTCATAACAAATCCACTACACTGTTGTGATAAAATAGTAACACAAAATTTTAAAATCTTTCAAGAGCTCCTTTCTCTTTCTCTACCAGAAAGTGTCTTAGAATTGCTATGCGGGATTTGCACGCTGATCGTCTGCCCAAGACGAGACTCCCTCACTGTTGGGTCACACGCCGAGGACCTTCGTATGGTTCGACTTTTGGCCTGAAAAGTACACCTCTTCATCACGAAACAGTTCCTTTTGTAGAAGAGAAATAAGGTCCACGTTTATTTTTATTTTCTTTTTTTATTATAATTTTTTTCTTTAAGATCGTGTTCTTCCTCATACGCACCTGACAGTGTAACAGGTGAGGAACACTTTCCATACAAACGACCAATTCTCTCTAATTTGTCATAGGAAGATTTTCTACTTTTTGACCTCACAAATCATTAAAGTTACTCAGTCATTTCGTACCATTCGCTTTCTCTGTCGTATCAACTTAGAAAGCCTGCGTTCTATTCTATTTGTCTTGCATGTAAGAATAACAGTAAATGACAACACCAGCCACTATCACCAAGCTCGCGAGAAAGGGTACCGCAGGGTGGTATTTGAACCCGCCAATGAATTCCCGAATTTCCAGGGTCGTCTTCCCCACACAGTGCGACTCTTGCACATACCACTTGCTCAGGTCGTATACTTTGGTGCTGTTGTCGCTGTGGAGTCTCTCGCACAGCCCACAGTAAGCTTGGGCTTTCTGTATCCATTCGTCGGCGACAAAGTAGTCTGTCTTCCACCTGGAATGGAACGTTGGAACACATTTGGTGAAAACGTTCGACATACGTGATGGGAGAAAGCTGACTTGAGAGTGGGGTTTTAATCTTGTAATTCTATTATATTTGTTTGATTTTAGTGGCTTATCTGTAGATTTAAATCCCCAAAAGCTAGAGAAGTAATAGTGAGCGATAGGAACCAAAGGGAAAATAATACATGGCAGGATAGTCAAATAACAAAGGAAGACGGAAGATTCCTATAACTATTCACAGATTTGTGTTTACAAGTCAAGTTAAGGGAAAGTATAAGGATAACCTTAGTAGTCTTTCCTTTAACGACAGGAGAAGGAAGCGAAAAAAAGCAAAGAGAAAGACGAGGACCCACTTGAAATATTCGGTGTAGGCAGTGTGGTTCCTGTCGAGGTAGAGGAGGTAGTCAGCGAGGTCCTTCGCCGTCGGGAAGGAGAGGGCGTCGATGTAGGAGTGAGGAGGCGCCTGCACGGAGTAGTTCCCCAGACCGTAGACGACGGGCACGATGTCTAGCCTGCGGGAGGAGGTGCTGCCTGGAGTATTGGAATGCGCTCACATCACCTCCGTACATATGCGTGCATGCAAACCGGTGGTGCGCACTCAGATTACTGATTCCCTATCTACAATGCTCACTTTAACATGTCGAAGAGTTTCTCCGTGACATAGTCTTGGCAGAGAGAGTTCTCAAAGGCCAGGTAGAACTTGTAGGTATCATTTAGGGCCTTGTGACACTCGGACTGCTGCGACCGCTCGCACTTGAAGGGCCCGCAGCCGCCGAAGATGTCCACTTCGATCCACTGCTGCAGGGTCTCCACTAGGCTGACGAGTAATGCAGTTATTGCTCCTAATGTTATTAATGCCATTGTTATCCTCGTCAGTATTTTAAGTTTTGGATATGGGGTCAGCTTTGAGGAAACATAATACTTTGATTGGGAATATCAAAATCAAGTTGTATTACTCAACTTATACGTCAGATCGCAAAACGTCTCCTTTGCAGGGTAACCACGTGGGTGTTATATTATATATCCAGTTAATAATCCCTATATTTCATTGTATCTATTCCATTAAGAAAGTATACATAGACACATCATAACACAACGCTCATCATACGAGAATTAAGTAACTGCAGAAAAATCTACTTGTGTAATATATTGTACCACGTTGGATAAAGGCACAATACGTATTAAACAAAACCTCACAATTATAAACATGACAACAAACATGATATTAAACATGACAAAAGGAATGTACAAGACACCAAAAGGGCCCTCTACGCACATCTCTCTCCCTCCGACCGTGTAGCAGTGAGAGACGAACCAGGCGGCCATCTTGGTCTTGCCCTCAGCATAGTTCCTCGTCGACGGGATGTGTAAGGGATCCTTCCTTCTGAACACTTGGGCGTACCTGGGGAGCGAAGAAGAATATGAAGTTCAATATTAGTAAGGAGAAATAGCAAAGAGACTTTTTTCTTTATCCAAGGCTCACTGACGGATTATTTTCTGTCCGCTTTTAGGTTGGCCTTGGATCTTTATAGAATGGTTGGAATATGAAAGGAAACTGCAGGAAAGAGGAAGTGGGGAGGAATGTCGTTAGGGGGAAATTCTTGTAGAAAATATATGTGCGAGATATTTTTTTTCTACATCAGAGGTTTTCAATATCTGGTTAAACACAGGCTGGGCCACACACACACATACACACAATATACATAATATACCTATATCTATATACATATATATACATACATATCTAATATATATATATAAATATATATATACATATATATATATATATATATATATATATATATATATATATATATAATATATATATATATATATATATATATATATATATATATATATATATATATATACATAATGACCGGACAAAGTTAGGCTTTACGAATCTCACACTGAACTACACATGCAGTACTGTTAAGTCGTTAGTACTGATACACAAATGCTAATTCGGTTATTATAAAAATCTCTGGAAAAAATGCTATGCATTAATTGATCATTTTTAACATGGGCATATCAATCATATTTAGTAGAAATTAATAAGAAAACCTGTGTTGATATTCTGAATGTGTATTACTTATAGGCAGTATTGTCTATTAAAGAAGGGTAAATTAATAAAAACAAATATTTACCGATGCTTAATACTATGCTAGTATTAGTTTCGCAATAATGCATCATATACAGCATATTAATACATCATGATCCAATGGATTTCCTTGCTCTTCTGTTTCTAGTAATACTTTTTAACACAATATTCGGTACTCGACTTCAGTGCATTACTTAAGACTAGGTTTAAATATTTTTCATTGATGATAATGCTGATAGTGGTGAGGATAACAAAACATCATAGCATAAGCAATACACAGCCGAAAGTTATTCTGTATTTTTGAAGGCTGAGAGGAGGAGGTTCGAAACTACTGTTCTGTATCATATGACGATCGAGAACAGTTAGAACTATACAGTATATAAAGTGTACAGCAACTTACATTGTCGGTGCGTCAGAATTTACATACGCAGAAACACGCACACAAACAAACTCACAAACATACGCACACAAATAAAAAAACAAAAACACTCAAACACAAACATACACACACACATACAAATAAAAAAGAAAAACACTCAAACACAAACAAACATACACACACAAAAATAAAAAAAACAAACACAAACAGACACACAAAAACACAAAGTAAGAAGAGAGAGAGAGAGAGAGAGAGAGAGAGAGAGAGAGAGAGAGAGAGAGAGAGAGAGAGAGAGAGAGAGAGAGAGAAACACACACACACAACATCAAAAACACAAACGAACAACTAAAACGAAAAAGAACAATAACAAAAGACCTCCACATTACTCACGGCCTAGGAAAGTCCGAATCGAGTCTGTACGTCATGGTCCAGTTGAAGATGTTGTCGAACCGGGAGATGTCGTCGTAGAGATAAGACGCAGACTCCAGCACCCAGAAGACGTAGCGGGTGTTGGGAGACCTGGGGAGAAAGAGAGAGGAGAAAGATGGGGATGAGGATGTTAAGAGAAAGGTGGGGAAGAAAGGGAAGGGGATACAGAGAGACGGGAGGAGATAAATGAAAGAAAAACGTGAAATTAGGATAATGACATTACATGACAGTGATGGTGATTATGATACGATAGAAAGAAATAAAAAAAAGAAGATACAGGTGGATAAAGAAAGGAGATAGAGAGAACCAGAGAGAATAGGACCAACTAAGCCTCCCCTCCCTGTCCTCCCCATTTCCCTTCCCCCCTCCACGCCACTTCTGTCTCTCCCCTCTCTCCCTCCCTCTCTTCCTCCTTCCTCCCTTCATCCTCCCTCTCCTCCCTCCCCCCACCTCCCTCCTTTCCTCCCCCTTCCCCCTTCCTCCCCCCTCCCTCCCTCACCTCCCTCTCCTCCTCCTCCCTCACCTCCCCACCGACCTGCTCTCCGGCAGCGACTTGTCCGAGCTCCTGAAGTGCCACATGACGGCGTCCAGCTCCTCGGGCCGGAAGCGCCCTCGCTCGCCCGTCGTGAGGCAGGCGTCCACCCGGCAGCCGGCGCGGACGAAGGGGGCGTGGCCGAAGCCGAAGCCGTAGTGCTTCGTTTGGAAATCCTGGGAACAGAAATAATAAAAAAAAAAGTTACTGTTTTCTTTATTTATTACTTTATTATTTTTTATTTATTTATTTATTTTTTATTTATATTTTTTATTCCTTTCTCTGTTCTTGTATTAATTGTATTTAGCATTAGTAATTGTAAGAATAGTATTTGATTGCAATGAATTAATAAATATAAAAATTAAACAATCGTTTTCAAATAAAGAGTGATTATGTATTGTATGTTATTATCGTTATTATCACTTATGTCATTGTTGTTTTTGTTATAGGTATAATGTTTACTTTTATGATAATTATCGTTATTGTTATCAGAACAATGGTGATATCATTATGATTAGTATTATCATTATCGTTATCATTATTATTAATATTACTTATTATTACTATCATTATTTTCATTACTATTATTATTATAATTATCATTATTATCGTCATTATTATCATTATTATTATCATTATGATTATTAATACTATTATCATTATTGTTATTATTATTATTATCATTATTATTATTATTATTATTATTATTATTATTATTATTATTATTATTATTATTATTATTATCATTATCATTATCATTATCATTATCATCATCATCATTGTCATTTCTATTGCCATTACTACTAAGATTATCACAAATATATCTTACTATAATAATACTTACTCAAATCTTGTGATACTTGGTGATGGTAACAATAATGATAATAACAGTATTTAATAGTAATGATAATTTTAATAATACGAAAATTGCACAATAAGTAAGCGAAATGAAATTCGGTCAGTCGTTAAAAATTGACGCGAAAAATAAGCAAGGCTGTAAAAAGATCACAATTTAATCCTTACATCAACATTCCAAAATAAAATCTTTTTCAAGGAAGAATAGTTTTGATGCCGAAGATCAGCGTCTCCGTTTTCTATGAAGAAATCTTCAGGGGGGGCTTTAAACTTCGGGTTGTCTGCCTCTTCCGTCGGGAAAATGAAGTTATTCGCTTCTGCTCTGTAAGGAGATTAATGTTATATAAGAGAAAGAAGCAGTTGTGGGCGCATATTCATATATACACAGACACGGGTACAGACACCTATGCATACACATGTATATATATATATATATATTATATATATATATATATATATATATATATATATATACATATAAATATATCCCCTTGGTGCCGGGTATGACGTGTACGTACGTGCTATGCCCACCGTGAGTACTTGTTTGATTGTTTTTACGCATAGATGGCAACACTTGTACTAACTCCCCAATGAGCCACTTACGAGCACCGCCCGTCTCGCCCGTTTACCCGTTTCTTTGATTTACAAAATATTTTACGTAATCTTATTTTGTTGTTACTAATGTTAAAAAAAATTATAACAATTATAATGTTTATGATAAAATAACACCATCGATTTTCATAGCACTAGAGAAAAGTACGTTTTTCCCGCCATTTAAATCAGGCGCTAGCAGAGCCATCTATCGGCAGACATTTTACGAAAAACATAGAAAGTGGGCACAATATTTTCCCCATTTTTTGTTCATTTTCCCCGGCACCATTGGGATATATATATATATATATATATATATATATATATATACATACATATATCATATATATAATATATGTATATACATATATATATTATATATATAATATATATATATATATGAGTATGAGTGTGTGTGTGTGTGTGTGTGTGTGTGTGTGTGTGTGTGTGTGTGTGTGTGTGTGTGTGTGTGTGTGTGTGTGTGTGCGTGTGTATGTATGTGTGTGTGAATGTGTGTGTGTGTGTGTGTGTGTGTGTGTGTGTGTGTGTGTGTGTGTGTGTGTGTGTGTGTGTGTGAGTACGCAGTCTGGGTATGCAAGTATATATACACATAAATATAGTGTTATTATGAAGGAAAAGACTTGAATCCTACCACAGGACATTGAGACAGTGGATGCCAACATATCCAGCAATTATAGTCACTCTGAGCATTGTTACCGTACTCCAGCCTTTAAGACTTAAACCCTATTTATTTTCTTACCCTAAGTGAAAAAAAGTGAAACAACTTTTAAGTCCTTGTTACGCGTTCATCCAAAAGTCTTACCTGCTATAAATACGAGATTTAACCGAGGCTGCAGAGGACTCCTGGTTTCCGATTTGGCGCACACTGCCAGGCAACAGGTCCATGTATAGAAGGTATATGAGCATGGATATCAGGGAGAATGCAAGGAGAAAGAAATTCCTCTGTAAAGGAAATTCATGTTGTTAAGTTGTTAATCTTCAGTTTCAAGTGAATGTTAGTAATACGAAAGGTCGTTTTTTATATCAGTCTTCGTGTTGTTGTTTTTTTCTTTTTTGTTCAATTATTACTGTTAATTATTATCGTTTTTTTATTGTTGTGATAAGTATCATGGTTCTTCTATAGGAGGGGAACATAATGTTAAGAGGATATGAAACAATATAATCTTGAAGGTATGACGTTGAAAGTATACGTTGGAGAAATGCGTTTGGCGACCCACTAAACCATGTAAAAGGCTAATAATGCTAGGTGGCCTTTACCAAATAATATTGAAACTAGTTATCAAACAGTAAGACTATTACAGTATCGTTAGTCAGTTACGCCGCATCTTTGGCAGTCTTATCCCCAGTGGCGTAGATAGGAAATTTTATAGGGGAGGCGAGAAATGCAGATTTTCCGACAAAAATT